TGAACCTTGTTCAACAAAAAAAAAACTCTTGGTTGTTTCTTGAATCTCTACAATTGTCAAAAAAAAAAGATTTATTCTTGATAGGTTCCAGTCACTGAGAAAAAAAAAAAACCTGTTATTGTTCCCAAGAGAGGGATCTCAGTCAAAAAAAAAATTTAGGCTAATTGGGAGCCAGACTCTCAGGCTGAAAAAAAAAAAGTGTGTGAATATATACAGTCCTATGGGGTCATAAAAAAAAAACCTGATGCCATTCAGACCAGGAGATCCAGAAGTAAAAAAAAAATGACTGTTACAAAAAAATGGCACCAGATAAGTAAAAAAAAAAAGTACTCGTGAGGTACAGTGTGATTGTGAGAAAGAAAAAAAAAAGTGTCCCCTGACCTACCTTCCCTAAAAGTCTATCTGTAGCCTCTACATCTGTGACAAACCTGGAGCCTGTCCCTCAAAAAAAAAAACTAGGAAAATAGCCTTTCTTGGAGAAAGACTAGAAAAAAAAAAAGTCTGCTGTCTGTGCTGTGCCCTTGCGGTGACAAAAAAAAAAAAAATGATCTCCCTGATTGTTATAGTCCCAAGGAAAAAAAAAATGCAAGCCTTCCTGGCCACCGAAGTTAGGCAATAAAAAAAAAATCCCTGTGTGGCCAGCATGCACCTGCTGACTTTAAAAAAAAAACTGGAGAGCAGAGGAATGAGGCACACCTGCTGGCTTTGGCAAGGCAGTGGGAGAGTGTAGGAGCCACATGTTGCCCAAAAAAAAAACAGGGTAGCAGGAGAATGCAAGGGCAGGGCACAAAAAAAAAAATTAGCAGGGTAGTCAAAGATTTCAGCAACTATGTAAGCCTGCCTGTGCTAGCAAGGGAGAGTGCAAAAGTGGCACCCACCAGCACTTCCATCTGGGAGAGATTCCAAGGCAATCCATGCCCCTTTAGTTGATTCTTGAAGATTAGCAAATGGGTCTCCTTCAAAAAAAAAAAAAGCATTTTCTAAACCGTTGCCATTGTGCTGAGAAAAAAAAAAAGTGAGTCTGTGCATGAGCCCTTTAACAGCAGTATCTCAGTTCCCTGCAGCCCTTTGAGTATCTCCTGGATGTAGAAAAAAAAAAATTCAAAGCTAGATGTTTTGGGGGCTCATCTCTCAAAAAAAAAACCCATGGATTAAGGTGCCTGAATGAAACCCTTTAAAAAAAAAAAGAAGTTCCCGTTCTGTGAAATCCATCCTGATTGTGGGTTGCCACGCCAGTGGTGATGTTTTTGGAGAGACAGTGTAAAAAAAAAACTTTACCTGTCTTGATGTGGCACTTTTATCCTTAAAAAAAAAAGAACTGTTCAGCTAGTTTTCAGAGGGAACTATTAAAAAAAAAACTGTATATTCACTGTGTCCACGGGAGGAGGTGAAAAAAAAAAATTCCCATGCCACTGCATTGTATACCACACCCCTAAAAAAAAAATTCCTGGTATTCTTTCCCATCATCTACATACAGAAACTTTTCTCAGTATAACGTTTCCATACCTATCAATTTAGTTGGGTGCTGATAAACAACAAGCAATTCTTAAGAAGTAACTGTGCCATTTTTGAAATAAGGCATTTTGTATTATGTGAAAATTAGAGTTCAGCAATATCTTCTTGGCATGGATTTGCCACTGGTTTAAAGGAAAAAAAAAAGCTTTATATTCTGAATGGAACAAAATTAACAGGAAAAAAAAAAGCTCAATAAGGCAGTAGAACTGTGGTTAAAAATAAAAAAAAAATTTTATAACATTTCTGGAAGGTCAAAAGCACATAAAAAAAAAACTACATGAACACATATAAAGTAAGGGAGAGATAAAAAAAAAAATTTGGGGATCTGACCTTGGCAGAATCTGGAGACAAAAAAAAAATGCCATGATGCCTGGGGCTAACAAGTGGGTTAAAATTCGGGTACTTAAAGTTTATAGATGGAACTTTGCCCCTAGCAAAAAAAAAACACAATGAATGGTCTTCCCTTAACATTTACTTAAAAAAAAAAATAAATATGAATCAAGACAAATAAGTGTGTGTCTAAAAAAAAAAGAATTTAAACTTGGCATCTGGAATGAATCTCAGAAAAAAAAAAGGATAACTTAGAATAAAGCCTACTGCAGTACAGAATTTGAAGATCTCTTTTAGCAAGAGGGTCAACTCTGCCTTAGCACACAGAGTAAAATATCTCAGCCAACAAGATGCACCCACAGTCTATTTTCTCATTCTTATACATAAATATATAGAAGACTACTGGCTGTATGAATAAAGTCTACAACCCAAAGAGAGAAAATGACACAAAAAAAAAAAAATTCTTTGGAAGACACAAAAGTTTACACACAAAAAAAAAAAAAATCTCACCATCCCTGTATCTATTAAAGAAACTAAAAAAAAAATCACAAACTTTCCCACAAAAAAATAACTTCATCATCAGATGGATTTACAACTGAATTCTCTGAAACATCTTAGAAAAAAAAAAAAATCTTCAACAATTTCTTCCAGAAAAAAAAGAGAAAAAAAAAAAACTTGTTTTTATGACTAGTTTAACATTGCTATCAAAAAAAAAAATAGATATTATAAAAAAATTTACAGATGATTTTCAAAAAAAAAAAGTATAAAAATCCTAAACATATTAGAAAAATGAATCCAGCAATCTTAAGTAGTACAAGACATCATGACCAGTATGAAAAAAAAAAAGAATCCCAGAGTAGTTTCACATTCCAGAACCAAAAAAAAAAAAGTACCGCATTCACACAAAGGAGAAAAATCATATAAAAAAAAAACACAGAAAAACCATTTGAATATATTCAATACCTAAAAAAAAAAAAAACATGAACTGAGAATAAGGAGAAATTCCTTAAAAAAAAAAAGAGAACCTATAAAATGTCCTATGACAAACATAAAAAAAAAAAATAAATTATTGAAAGTTTTCCACCTGAGACAGGAAAAAAAAAAAAGTTTCTCATTATTGCCACTTCTATTAAACATAAAAAAAAAAGCCACAGTCTATGCAAAAAATAAAATAAAATTCAAAAAAAAAAAAAGAGAGAAACTACCTTTGTTTTTTTTTTTTAAAAAAAAAAATTATTTGAGAGAGAGAATGAGAGAGAGAGAGAGAAAAAAAAAAGGGGGGAAGGTCAGAGGGAGAAGCAGACTCCCTAAAAAAAAAAGAGCCCGATGCGGGACTCGATCCTGAGACTCCAAAAAAAAAAACTGAGCTGAAGGCAGTCGCTTAACCAACTGAGCAAAAAAAAAACCCGAAACTACCTTTGTTTGATGATACAACTGTAAAAAAAAAAACTGCAAAAGATTCTGAAAACTATTAATAAGTGAAAAAAAAAAGGACAATGAATGTATAATACACAAAAATCCATTATATTTTTATATACCAACAACAAAGAGAAAAAATTCAAAATGAAAAAAAAAAATTAAATAGGATCAAAATGTCAAATATCAGGGATAAAAAAAAAAAAAAGATGTACAGGTCCTCTGGATGGAACACTGAAAAAAAAAATGAGAAAAGCATTCAAGAAGACTTAAATAAATGAAAAAAAAAATCATTTTCACACATTAGAGGACTCAATATTGTAAAGATGTTAACTGATCTACAAATTCAACACAATTCCAATCACTACCCTGGCAGGCTTCAGTGAAAATTGACAAGTCAGTTCTAAAAAAAAAAAAAAAAATCAATGAACCAAAACTAGCAAAGAAAGTGTAAAAAAAAAACAAAGATGGAGGGTTTAGATGAGCAGATCCCCCAAAAAAAAAAAAAACAATTGCATATATGCATACAATGGAACGTAAAAAAAAAATAAAAAGGAATCACATTCTGATACCTGCTACAGAAAAAAAAAACCTTGAAAACATTCTGCTAAGTGAAATAATTTACACACAAAGGGACAGATAGAGTATCAGTCTACTTTTATGAACTTCTAAACAAGCAAATTCGTAGAGACAGTAGATTAGAGATTGTGTGGGTGGGTAGCAGGATGTGGAGTTACTGCTTGATGATTACAGAAAAAAAAAATGGAGGGATGAAAATGTTTCGCACAGAGATAATAAAAAAAAAAGCACATTGTGAATGTAGTACATGATACTGAATTAAAAAAAAAAAAATCATGAAAATGACAAATTGTATGTTATATCCTTTTTACCACAATGTAAACAAAAATACACCCACATCATTGAAAAAAAAAAAATAAAATGGGTACATTGTATGGTATATGAATTATAAAAAAAAAAAGCTATTAAAAAATCATTCTTATTAAGCCAGTGTGGTAATAGCTGAAGGACAGACACAGTAAAATGGAAGAGAATAAAGAATTCAGGAGCAGATTCAGATGTATGTTCACGTGATTTATGACAACGTTGCCACAGGAGTACAGTGGGAAAAGAATTGCCTTTTGATAGACTGATGTTGTTTTCATGATATATTCATATGTGCCACAAAAAAAAAAGATAAGTATGTATTAATTTGATAAATATTTAAAAAAAAAAAAATTATAAAGTATCCAAGGTAGAAAGACGAAGACTAAAAAAAAAAGTGCCTAAGCAACTAAGTAACTAAATAAACAAAAAAAAAAAAAAATCACCTTTTGCATCAATCACTGATTAAGTCTAAAAAAAAAATAAGGATAAGTAATTTTGATTTGTAATACTTGAAAAAAAAAAACTCCATCTTAGTTAAATACCGTCAGTATACACCAAAAAAAAAAAATTATTTCATCCCTTTTCCAATCTAATTCTAAAAAAAAAAAAATGCAAAGTAACAATGGTATATATATTTTGTCAAAAAAAAAAAAATGTATTGCCATCCACCATCACCATTCTTGCCAAAAAAAAAAAATCACGGAGCCAAATCAAATGGTCAGATTAAAAAACACACCAATCCACACACCAGTTCCCCTCCCCCAACCCCAGAAAAAAAAAACCCACGAAACAAAACAAATACAAACATTGGCAAAAAAAAAAAAATGTGACAGCAGAGATGGTTAACGTCTAACCTTAAAAAAAAAAAGATTTGTCTGCTTGAGCTTATTTTCAAGTTTAAAAAAAAAAACTGGGCTTATGGGAGCACTTACAAGCACTGTTCAAAAAAAAAAATTTAATTGTTTTAGAATTCCCTGGCGCAGGGGAAAAAAAAAAGCCAGTAACTGAAACAGACAAATGCAACAACGTAAAAAAAAAATTACAGCACAATTCCAACTATTTTGTCTTTGTCAAAAAAAAAAAGTCTATCAAAACGAAGCAACTTGACTGAAGGCAAAAAAAAAACTCAAATACCAATGTCTTTCTACAGAGCGCAGAACTGATGGACTGGAGCACCCACTCCCAAGGAGATAAACCTATAAAAAAAAAAACTGGGAGATTCTTTTCAAGAAAAAAAAAGAATCAAAAAAAAAAATGAGCTCCAAAAATTAACACCCCAAGCATTGTAAAAAAAAAAAAAACATATCTCTGTCAGAAATAGAGCAATCTGAAAAAAAAAATGATCCTCTCAGGTATTAAGCATCCATGCTATAAAAAAAAAAAGAGTAAGAAATTGCATTATCATATTGAGAGCTAACTAACATTGAGACCATACCAGGTACCAGGCGCTGGGTTAACCAAAAAAAAAATTATATAAAAATTAACTAAGATAATATAATTCTAAAAAAAAAATCCTATTATCTTCCTCTTATACAGAAGGAAGCTAAAAAAAAAAGATTAAATCCCGACAGAGAGGTTAAGTACCAGCAAAAAAAAAACAAAAATAGCAAGCAACGGAGCTGTGATTCCAAAAAAAAAAAATTCATTAATGAACCCTATTTTGGACTGCTCCACAAAAAAAAAATTCTTTTATTCATTCAGTCTTCCATTACGAATGAAAAAAAAAAAGACCTCCAAAACCACCATGGTTGTTAATAACTAAAAAAAAAATACTTGTGTCATCTAGAGCTACAGTGTCCAATATAGTATCACGAGCCACATGAGGCTACTTAAGTTTAAATTAATTAAAAAAAAAAAACATAAAAAAGTCAGTTCCCCGGTCACACTACAAAAAAAAAACTCAAAAGGCTACTGCAATAGACAATAAGAGCAAAAAAAAAAATACAGAAAGTTCTGTTGGACAGTGCTGATCTAGAAAAAAAAAAGAAAATAGAAAATCAATGCATATATATTAATAAAAAAAAAAAAACATGTCTCTTAAATGAGTTATCAATTATATTGAAAAAAAAAAACTCGATACTTTTAGGAAAGATTAATTTTCAAGAAAAAAAAAAGTTCATTTTTCTATGACATACCCATCTTCAAATAAAAAAAAAATTCAAAACTTGGTGTGTTTTTTTTTTTTTTTTTAAAAAAAAAAGACATAGAGTAGGTACTCAATATTTGTTTACTGAACTAAGCATTAATTTTATTTTTATACTTTATCCTCTGTTCAGAAAAAAAAAACTTGTTTCACAGAAATAAGTGGTTGACATTGGAAAAAAAAAAACATGTACAAACCAACTGAATCATTGATAAAGGAAAAAAAAAAATTCCCTTGGATTGTATGACCTTGTAAAATGAGGAAAAAAAAAAGCAACCATTTTGAAAGTTTTATACGAAGATTAAAAAAAAAAAAGATGTAAGTGCATCTAATACTTAGCACATAATAAAAAAAAAAAAAATGTTAATTTCCCCTTCCTTTTCACCTTCGTTTCAAGAATTATAGTAAAACAGATCCAAATAAATTTCTTTCCTAAAACTAAAACCAGGAAAGTTAATCCAACTACACAATCAGTGCAAAAAAAAAAGCCAGGTGAGATAATCAGTAATAAGCAGACATCAAAAAAAAAAGGCATGAAAAGCCACTTGAATAGGCTGGATGTCAAAAAAAAAAGTATAGAATGTAAACCAACACCATGCACCCCCAAAAAAAAAAATTCAGGTGAATGGAACACCTCTAATTAGAGGCTAAAAAAAAAAGATTGATTTGGCAATTAAGATCCTTCCTAAGAAATGGGATTCATTTCTATAAAGTCCCTCCAGTTTCTGAAATAATAAAAAAAAAAAAAATTCTCCAATATGTCTAAGATCAATTTCAAAAAAAAAAAAAAAATAATGCCATGGATTTTACACACACACACAAAAAAAAAAATACTTTTTACAAAAAAAAAAAAATACTTGCTGGAAAAAAAAAAGTTAAAACAATATAAAGTTTTGAGGAAATCTAGAAAAAAAAAATCAATAACCTAATGGAAATCAGAGATTAAAAACAAAAAAAAAAAGATTCATATACTCTTTATACAAGTAGGCCCTGAAAAAAAAAAGAAAACAAAATTACCTTGACTTGTTCAAGTTTTAAAAAAAAAAGCTGCTCATTTCCAGGTTCAAGTGGAATACTAGAAAAAAAAAATGCTTCCTCCAACCATAAAACAAATTCATTTACATCTCTTTGAAATTCTGACAAGATATTCTTTTGTTCCTCTAGCAAAAAAAAAAAAGAATAAAACTGTTATAAACAACATATTTCTCAAAAAAAAAATTTTTTTTTTAAAGAAAACTCAGAAACAAACAAAAAAAAAAAAGGTAACACTTTCAAGAAAATAAGAAATTTAAAAAAAAAAAAAAATACACAATTTTTTAAAGAAAACTCATTTACTTAAAAAAAAAAGACCTCAATATCGCCAAAACTTCTTAAATGTAAAAAAAAAAAACTGGTAAAGAAAAAAACTTCTAATTTTAAAATTAAAAAAAAAAGTTATTAAACGAGAGCAGTGTTTTTCAACCTCAAAAAAAAAAACATTTCGGGTTCAATAACTCTTAGTTGTGAGGGAAAAAAAAAAGCTTTGTAGGAGGCTTAGCAGTATCCCTGGCCTAAAAAAAAAAGATGCCAGTAGCATATCCCTCCCTCAACTCTGAAAAAAAAAAATGTCTTAAGGCACTACCAAATATCCCCTTGGGAAAAAAAAAAACCTGGGGTGAGAGCCACTGCACTAGAATAAGTAAAAAAAAAAAAGTTGCATGCTCTAAAATGCTTAAATAAAATACAAAAAAAAAAGAAATTGTAGGGTAAAAGTAAAAGCAAGGGAATAAAAAAAAAACTTAAGTTTTTACATGTTAAAATGTTTTCCGAAAAAAAAAAAACAGTCTTTCTTGAGGAAAGAGGAAAACTGAGTTAAAATACATCACATATGTTGTACTAGTGGAAGTTTTCATTTATAAAAAAAAAAATACTGTATGTTTTTCAATTAGCCATAAATTTATTCTTACATATTGAATCACAACACAGTTGAACAAAATGGTCTGAAAAAAAAAAAATTTATAATGTTTTGTTTTGTTGTTTTTTGAGAAAAAAAAAACCTGTATGTAAGCTTTTAATTGAATACACAAACAAAAAAAAAAACACACACATACATATACATAGGTGTACTTTTCAAAAAAAAAATATGTAGGAAAGTATGTATGTAAGCTTTCAATTAAAAAAAAAAACACATACATCAGTACAAAGCTTATATATATATAAAAAAAAAAGTACACACACATATATATACACAACATATATATAAAAAAAAAAGACTATATGTATATATAGGAAAGTAAAACTATGAAAAAAAAAAAGCTCAAGATATTTTTTTTAAAGATTTTATTTAAAAAAAAAAAAGACAGATAGTGAGAGCAGGAACACAAGCAGGGAAAAAAAAAAAGGGAGAAGCAGGCTTCCCGCCAGGGAGCCCGATGCGGGGCTCAATCCCAGGACCCTGGGATCATGACCTGAGCCGAAGGCAGACGCTTAACGACTGAGCCACCCAGGCGCCAGCTCAAGACATTTTTAAAAAGTGTACAAATGACCAGAAAAAATAGAATGTTATCGGAAGCCCAGAGGCCCCTCTTGTCCCTTGCAGTCACTACCTCCAAGTATAACCAGTATCCTGTCAACTTCGATTATGTTGCCTATATTGAACACTGAGTATATGGAATGATATGCTATATACGCTTCTGTGTCTTGTCTCTTTCACTCAACATAATGTTTACAATAACCAACCATGTGGTATATAGCTTAATTTGTTTAATCTCCTGGCTGTAGAGTATTGAATTGTTTAAATATATATCTCTGTTGGTGGACATTTGGGTGGTTTCCATTTTGGGGATGTTTACATGTTCTTTTGGTTTCAATTTAAAAAATATTTATCAGGGTCTTACTAACTTCCTGCAAGGCTACTGGGCATTAGTATTAAAGATAGATATGTTGTGTGCCTTGCCTTGATGATCTCACAGTCTATGAGAGGAAACAAGAGATCCCCACGTGTAGGAATAAGACACAGCCTGTCTCATTTATAGCCTGTGCAAAGACAGGGTGTTGAAAGAACTACTATTACAGTCTTTCCCCAAACCAGGTCCACTTATTGAATTTATGCTTGCCTATATTCAGTTTTGCTCTTTGATGAGAGTTTGTTCAAAGTCTGTTCTAGGCCATGTGAGGAGACATTCTCTTCTCTCTCTATTCTTAACAAAGCAGACCCTATGAAAACTCAAGTCATATTCCAGGATCCTATGGAAACCTAAGGCATATTATGTCACTGTTGCAGTAAAAACTCTTCTATTGCCTCCCAATTTATTCACAGCAAAGCCAAAGTCATTACAGTGTTCCGTGAGGGTCTAGATCTGTGCTGTCCAATATAGTAGATACCTTCCCATGTGGCTACTAAGCACCTGAAATGCTGTAAGGGGAATTGAGATGTGCTTTAAGTGTACAATATACACCAGATTTCAAAGACTTAGTACAAAAACATTGTTCTATCTGAACCTTCTACTCAAGTTTGCTGAGAACCTACAACTGCTGTAAAACAGAAAACTATTTTTTTAAAGATTTTATTTATTTGAGAGAGAAAGAGAATGAGAGAATGAGAGAATGAGAGAATGAGAGAATGAGAGAGAGAGTGCACAAGGGCGGGGGAGGGTCAGAGGGAGAAGCAGACTCCCTGCCGAGCAGGGAGCCCGATGCGGGACTCGATCCTGGGACTCCGGGATCACGAGCTGAGGCGAAGACAGTCGTTTAACTAACTGAGGCACCCAGATGCCCCCAGAAAATTATTTTAAAAAAAGAATGGAAAACATCTCATTAATACTTTTTTCATTAATACTTTCTATATGATGTACAGGTTGAAATAATATGTTTAATATATTGGGTTAAGTGATATACTCATTTCATCTGTTCCCACTTCTTTAAAAGAAGATGTAATTGAAATATAAATTTCAATTACACATGTGGCTCACCTTATTTTTCTATTGACCAGCACTGATCTAGGAAATCGGCTGATCCCCAATCTCCTTACTTCTCTGACCTCATTTCCATCTACTCTGTATTTCTCTTATCTTTCTTGAGACCCTCTGTCTTCCTTGCTGTGCTCCTCAAATATACTACATGGGTTCCCGCTTCTGAGTCTCTGTACTTGCTGTATTTTTCTGCTGACAATGTCCTTCCCTCAAATATTAAACATGGCTGGCTCCCTCACCTTCTGCAGGTCTTCCCTGATGAACCTACTGAAGATTACATTTCTCCTCCCAAATGTCTATTCTTTCTTTCTGTTTTTATCTTTCTAGTTCCTAAATGTAACAAACACTAAAATTTGGTTATTTTATACGGCGTCTGTCTCACACACATGAAATTAAACTTCCTGACAGCAAAGATTTTTATTTATTGCTATAACCCTTGCTCCTGGAACAATGCTTGGCACAGATTAGATGCTAAATCAGTAACTGTTACATTAATGAATGAATTCTGCCATCATTCTTTTCCATTTTACATGCATTCCTATTTTAAAAGAACCCTTCCTATTCTTTTTTTTAAATAATTTTTTATTGTTATGTTAATCACCATACATTACATCATTAGTTTTTGATGTAGTGTTCCATGATTCGTTGTTTGTGCATAACACC